TCTTTTTTATTTCTATCTTTTAAAGCTTTATTGAATATACAGAAATAATACAACAGATCATATACATAATAAACGAAACTAAACAAATGACAAGATGACGACAATCAAGCTTATGGCTTATGTTCGTGTCGGATCAAAACAAATACATGTACAGACATGCAAAGCATACGGATAACAAAATAAAATAAGGTTACAACGCATAATAACTGCGATCATGTGAAATGATAAAGAAGGGTTGTGTACAGGTAAATTGCAACTTGGTACTCCACGTCAAACTGGTAGGATAAGAAATTTAGTTACTCGAATCTTTTGGTTTCAGGTTCTTCCTCACCAAGAACTTTTTCGTTATCGTCGCCGTGCTGACGATGCTGGTTCCGGTAGGGTACTTCATGGTAACGGCCTCGTCAACAGCAACTGAGGTTCACAAAAGAGGACTGGACACGATGATAGAGGAACCTTCGTACGCGAATAATACGGCGATGGAAGGCAAGTACGCGATGGAAGGCAAGAACGCGAACGGGGGACCCGCAAAAATGCATCCAGATGCAGGAAATGACATCCCACTGTCTCAGAATGACGGTGTTGCTCTGAAAGACACAGGCTCGGAAGGAGAATTACAAAGACGGTTTGATGAAATCAAGGAAAGGAAATTAAAGGTAGAACAAAGCTCGTCAATGAAGAGGGAGAAGGAAGAAGAGTTTAGTGACAAAGAAGTCCAGAAACGGTCAAGAAGGAAAGAAGATGTACTGAAAGAGGAGGACCGAGAAAATAACCGAAGGGATCACCCAAAGCCGATTGTCAAAGTAGAAGAAAGGATACAGGCACTTGAAAAAGAGCGGGCAGAGAGACTAGAGAAAATAATGCATGGCGCTCCGGAGAAGAAACAAGTCATGCACAAAATGCACGGTCACGGCCAGGGAATGAAAGTACACGGAGAAAAAGAAGACAACATTGTCCACGGACAGGAAGGGCAAAAAGACGAGGAACCCTTCGATAAAAGACATGAGGACGACGGTGAAAACCTACCCGTCAAAAATCGCCGGAAAAGTATGAGGAAGAGTGATCAACAACAGAACAGAGCCGGTGACAAGGCAAAGTTGGGAACAGAGGTGCCAAAAGTCGTACACTTTGTTTGGGACGGTGGCAGAGACTTTAGGTTTCACGACCTTCTCAGTGTTAAGAGCGCTTGCAAACATCTTGAGCCAGAAGCAATTGTCTTCCACGCCGTCAAAGCCCCCGAAGGAAAATGGTGGAAAGAAGCAAACGACATCCCAACATTTCAGTTCAGTCAAATATCACTTGACGACAACAATAAGAACGACGACGATCAAGGTATAGACGAAAGAAGACCCAAAAAGGACAGCTACCTTGAGGCAAAAGTAGACATCCTTCTCAGAGAAGGTGGCATCATGTTGGACACAGATACTTTCGTGCTCAAACCGTTCGAACATCTTTTGCGTTACGACTGTGTGGTGAGCCGCGGGGCAACTGGACTGAACCTTGGCGTGCTCATAGCAAAGAGAGGGGCACAATTCCTAAAGATGTGGCAGAAAAGTATGGAAGAGGACGGCACCAGAGCGCCCGAGGCAGTGGTGGCACGGCATCTGGACTTGGTACACGTAGAAGACAGCAGTTTATACAGACCACAGTGGACGGACGGTTGGGATCCTCTTAGCATGTACTACAACAACGTTGACCTGGACTCCAACTACGCCATCAAGCTAGAATACGACAAGTACAATCTAGAAGAGACGCCGGAGACCATCACAAAACTGGACACGTCGTTTGACCACCTAGCGAGAAGCGTGTATCTGACAACTCCCAATGATGTTGTCAAGAGTCAACGGTCACCAATATCGCCTAACAGGGAGGCCGTTGTCCCAAATGAGGTGCATTTTGTCTGGTTTGACGGGGCTAGTAGAGGCAGCAAGTTTGAGTTTAGGCATTTTCTCAGCGTCAAGGCTGCATGGGACTACGTAGGAGCGGGAAAAGTGTACTTCCACACCGACGCTAGCTTTGATGGAGTGTGGTGGGACAGAGTCATTGAGAGAGAAAACGTCAAAATCGTCCCGGAAAACGCGTCAGACTCTCTCGATGGCGTTCCTGTGACAATTCCGGATCACCAAGAACTCGCCACCGCGTTAGGGATCCTACAGGGCAGAGGTGGCATCTACCTCAACATCGACGTCATTGGACTAAAATCGTTTGAACCTTTACGTCATTATGACGTCACCATGGGTAGAAGCATACACGGACTCAGTAACGCCGTGATTTGCTCCAAGCCAGGTTCAGAGTTCCTCAGATTGTGGACCGAAAGTTTTCGAAAGTTTGGCGAGGGAAAATGGGACGTCTTCGCCTCGGAAGAGCCGTTTCGCCTCGCTAACGAAAACCCGCATCTCCTTCGTATCGAAGAGTACAGCCTTTTCCGTCCCGAACTCTCACATTGGAGTGACCTGGACGCTCTCTACACCCAAAATGTGTCTTTGGAAAACAACTTTGCCATTCAGCTTTTCTACGACAAGTTGGGAAAGCAAATCGACCAGTACGACATTCTCGGCATGAAATCCACCTTCGGATGGATGGCGCGAAAACTGTTCTACAGGTAGTACAGAAGCTTTCTGCTCTGGCTTTCTGTGACAGTAATATCCTTAGCAACTTAGTTCCTCCAGTGCCTATTTCAAGGATCTTCGGGCCGTCCTTCTCCACCTAGTGCGGTTTTGTGCTTGTGCTGTCGCTCGATACCAGGAGCTACCGGTGGCTTCCAGGTCTTTCTCCACATTTGTCCTCCACGTCAACCTTGGTCTTCCTCTGTTTCTTTTACCTCCGTGTGGTGTCCACTCTAGGATCTTTTTTGCTGTTCTTTCTTCTTTCATCCTGATGACGTGTCCGAACCATCTCAGTCTTCTCTCACTGATCATGTCTGCTACCCTTTTCTGTTTTGTTCTTTCATAGACCTCTTTGTTGGTAATTCTATCCCTATACGTGATGCCTAGAATCTTCCTTAAGCATCGGACGTGAAAGGCGTTCAGTCGTTTCTGGTCTGCCATGTACAGCTGCCAGGTTTCGCTTCCATACAGCAAAATAGTAACAACGTACTGTTGCTTGGTATATTCGCAGTTTGTTTTGTAGGCTCAGTTTTCCGTTCTTCAATACTTTTTGAATTTTGCCGAATGCTGAGCTCGTCTTCCCTATTCTTGTCATAATTTCTGTGTGACTGTGTCCATTTGAGGTAATTGTGCTTCCCAGGTATGTAAATGAGTCTGTATTCTTGACTGCTGTATCATCAATTTTAATGTTTGGGGAAGTGGTCAAATTAATACTCATAACTTCACAATTTTTGGCATCAAATTTCAGACCTACTCTTCCCGATGTCTCTCTCGTCACGTCTGTTGTCTGTTGTAGACCATCTTCATTTTTGTCGATTAAGGCAATGTCGTCTGCGAAGTCTTGATCGAACAGGCGGTCGTTTGTCCCCTTTACTTGTACTCCCTGTTCTTCTGCCTCCACCTTTTTCAGCACCCAGTCGATGGTGGTTATAAAGAGGAGCGGGAACCCTTGTCTGACTCCTGTACGCACCTCGAACTTGTCGGTGTTTTGTGTTCCCACAGTAGTATACACCACAGGTAACAAGTTAAATTTCTACCAAACAAAACTGCACATTTTTAAGTAGTAAAAATCCTAACAACTGTGAGTTCTACCAGTGATCAGTAATGTACGGTCTTCAAATGTTCAACTGACATTTTTCGAAACTGACAACTGACATTTTGCACCTTCTTCAGGCGCAAACTGACCCACTCACGTGACCTAACGGAAACGTGACGTCAGAAGTGGATGTAATGTACCCATCATTCCAAATAAGGCATGTTATGACTCCAACCCCATACTACATTAATCAAACGAACATTTGGCCTGTGTTTTAACGTCTTTAATCTTCTTCATAACCTTTTGTTCGTAGGTTGAATGAGCCGGTGCTGAGAGGAGAGGAGCCCCTCCCACATGCTCATTACGTCGTCCCAAACATCTTTCACTATATCTGGTTCACCTGCCATGACTTCCGCTTCCACCACCTCCTGAGTGTGAAGAGTATGTACCTCCGTGCGAAGGTAAGGCGTTTTATTGACACATCCCTCCAGATAGGTTATTGCCATCGCTGTCACATTTTAGGACGGTCAAGTCTTGACAAAACCACCCCCCTACAGAATAGACCAGTCCCGAATGTCCATCACAATTAAAAGTTCAACCAATGAATGAAGGGCAAGTAGCGGTTCGACCAATGAGAGATGGAAAATTAACAGTTCGACCAATGAGAGAGCGGCTACATGTCCGTCAATTTTTTGCTTTTCTATGTTTTGACACAGGCCGATCGTATCATCATCTGGACGGACTGCACGCCGAGCGGGCACAACTGGGACGAGGCCGTCCGGGACATCCCGGTGTTGGAGGTACGGCAGAGGGGACAGCCTAGCGACATCTGGGGGAACGTCATCAACAACGTGAAGCACCGCTCGGACATCACACGTATGGAGGTATGGACCATCCGCCTTTGAGAAACATGCCTTAGTACTGAACACCGAACAGAAGATATGTCTGTCCTTAGTACTGAACACTATCCACCTAACACTATCCACTGAACACTATCCATACTGAACACTTTCCATCTAACAGAAACATACCTGTCCTTAGTACTGAACACAAACCACCTCAGTACTGAACACAATCCACCTCAGTACTGAACACAATCCACCTAACAAAACATGCCTGCCCTTAGCACTGAACACTTTCCACCTAATAGAAACACGCCTGTCCTTAGAACTGAATACTACCCACCTAACAGAAATATGCCTGTCCTTAGTACTGAGCGCTATATTCCTAATAAAAACATACCCGCCCTTAGTACTGAACACTATCAACTTAGCAATATGCCCGTCCTTGTTGCTGAACACCATTCACCGAACAGATACATGCCTGTCCTTAGTACTGAACACAATCCACCTCAGAAAACATGCCTGTCCTTAGTTCTGAAAAATATTCACCTAATTACAGAAATATACCTGTCCTTAGTACTGAACACTTCCCACCTAACAGAAACATGCCTGTCCTTAGTACTGAACACTATCCACCTCAGAAAACATGCCTGTCCTTAGTACTGAAAACTATCCACCTAACAAAAAATGTGTCTGTCCTTAGTGCTGAACACCATCCACATAACAGAAGTATGCCCTGTCCTTAACTACTGAACACCATCCACCATTTCTAGTTTGTGTAATTTTCCAGGTTCTAAAGGAGTATGGCGGCGTGTACGTGGACTGGGACGTGTTTGCCATGAAGCCTTTCCACCCTCTCCGGCGGTTTGACTTCGTCATGGGGTGTGCACGGCGGTCTGTCAATACGGTATTCTTTCCCATTGCTAGGGGGGTTCGAAAACGTATCGGGTTACAAGAAGCAAGTTTGGCCTGTTTTGGACTGCCCGTAAAACACTTGAAAATAAACAAATAGTATTGAAGGGTAAATTCCGTCAAAATAAAATGAAATTGTCGTCTTTACATAGGTTTAGTGTTAGTTGTTTACGTTAAATTACTAGTTTTTAAAAATCTCGCTCCGAAAGACGATTTTTTTCGGGATTTGTGTAGCGCCAGTCCGAGACAGTCCGAGTCATGTTTTAGGCAAACTCCGTTTAAGATTGGCTACGTATGTTACCCAAAATCCCCGATTTTTATATTTTTCGACGACTAGGAATAAGATCAAAAATCGTGTATAGTATAAGTATAGTTTTTGTCGACGTAAATGTGAAAAAACGGCATTTTTTGACATATTTCGCACTCGATTGCTCATGATTCAAAATCAAGGTCATTTTTCGAAAATCCGTAAGACACGATTCTGGACAAACCCATTACGGTCATTTTGAGCCGTCAATGAGATATGCTGGGCTCTCCATGCTTCCAATCTTAAACGAGTTTTGCACGCATGTCATACGGCATGAGTTTGACGGGTGTTTATTTAGGCTGATGAGTACATGCATTGCGATCTTCAAGGTCACCCACGATAACAGCAGTAGCTTCGTTTCATGTTCCAGCCCACTGCAAAATGAAGGCAGAATTGTAGTTGTCCAGGAAATGGTTTATATTTGTTAAAAGGTGGATTTTTTTCTGTTAGGAGGTTCACATGTAAAAAGGGGCCGGAAGACGCACGTTTACTGTAAATGACCGCGGGTGACCCCATTTCGAACACCGTTCTATTCGAATTACGTCATATCGAACACGGTTCGGGTTCTACTGCAGGTGTCGAAATCGGGGCCCATCATCGACCACCGTGGCGAGATAGCCGGTCTGAACAACGGCCTCATCCTATCCAAGAAGGATGCTCCGTTCTTAAAGGTAAGGATCTTAAAGCATCTCAAATGCAGCCAGGGATGGAAATACCATTTGCAATACAGGTTGGTGCACGTAAAATTGGAATCGTAGTATTTGTCTGCACCCAACCTGTATCTGTATCAGTATAACTGCCCTTCGGCGTAACACACCAGCTTCGCAGGCACGCAGAGCAGCGGCAGCTAGCTGTATTACACCGAACGACCTGTTACTGCGACAATCTTTGCACATTTAACTGCAGGAGTTGTTTAAAGCTTTCTAGTAATGATGCCTTAACTGTGCTCGGTGGCAGCGAGTTCCAGTCTACGATAAATACGAGTTTTTGAACACCTAAATTCTTGGTTGATAACTCTGATATTTGAATGATAAAGACCAGCTTGAGACACTAGAATGACTCCAAAATTACTTACATCGTAGTTTTTAACATCATTCAAAATACAGCAGACTGGTCTGCAAGATCCACAGTGGTTTTATTTTTACCAGTAACATCATTGCCACAACCTCTACAATGTACTTCCCAGGTGTGGTGGGAGAACTACAAGCACTTTGACGACAACAAGTGGAACTTCCACTCCGTCATGGAACCGTTCCGTCTGGCCTTCAAACACCCGAACCTGATACTGATGGAGTTCAACACGCTATCCCGACGAGGGTAGGTTAGCCTGGTGTCCACTGTATCATAGTTGGGGCAGATTTTCTTCGGGGCTCTTGAAGCTCTTCCCCGCCCGCCTCAGCTAGGTTCCCCGGTAGGTATTGCACGACGGGAGTTTAGCGAGATTAGCCCCACAGCTAATCAACTCCCGGCGTCCTTTACTCTATCACAGGCGTAACAATCAAATCCTACCGGGCGGCCTGTTGAGCTGGACGGGGGAAAGTATTAGAGCCTGCCGAAGACAGCCTGTCCCAACAACGATAGGTTGGATACCAGGCTAAGAGTACATTTGTACTGTGGTTATAGTACAATCCATGAGAAGCAGAAACGTTACAGTCAACTACGACGTTATGTTAGATTCAAATGTCAAAATCTAAAAGGTGCACAAAGCACAATGTGCTCATCTTTTCCAACCGACAGTTTCAATAGATTTGAAAAAGTATTTCTAAACTTATCAAATTTGTTTCAAATGTACATTATGTCACATTTTATCTGTGGGTAGTATAGAAATATTTTTCTACGAAGGCCCACAAGTACAATTATCACTGCGTTGTTTTGTTCCAGCTGGGAAGACTGGTGGGATATGAAGGCCATGTCGAATGAGGACCACCTGTTCCCCTGGTCACATGTCTATGGAGTACATTTCATCTACAGGTACATCAGTACTATAAGCTGGCTCACGGTTTGAACTGTGCATCTGCTAAGGTCAAAACAAAGATGAAGGTCCATAATTTGTCAACAATTCCATGTACAGACGTGTTGTCCAAGGCTCAGAAAATAATAAATTTGAACGTCATTTGAGAGAGCATTTCATACTTTAGGTATGTAAAACTGCAGAAACAAGCCCAAGATTCAGAGTCCTTTATTTTCTGGGTGGTACTCTAAAAATCGATCAGCTCAGGGCCCTTCCAGTAACCATTTTTCCGTCAGAATTTTGGGAATTTCTGCTACATGAGGGCCAATATACATTGGGATAGTGTGCACGTGGTTGCAACTCAGTATGTAGATAAATGACTAGAATATTGGCTTTGAGAAATCGGGTTTCCAAGCCCTAAAAACTGCATTTGATGCCTTTAAAGGTTGAAAGATTGCTACAGTTGATTCTGACAGTCTTGCTGAAGTTGATTCTGACAGCCTAAATGTTTCTGTTTCTTCTAGTTTCCATGGTGATGAACACAACCCAGAAGACATCAAACACATGAGGGGGACCTTCGGACAAATGGCACGATGGGTGTACTATGGTCAAGTGGAGTTTGTAGACTAAGGTAGTTCAGCACTCAAGAACTAGAAAACAAATATAACACTAGAGAGGCCGACATTTGCTTGGGAGCAAATACAGCATATTTCAGTCCATCTCCCTCCCACGCAAAAGTGGACTATTCCAAACTTACCCCAATGTGTGGGTCATTCCGCACGACTTACGTGCAATGTGACCTCAGGTAACCCGCAATGGAACACGTATTCCATGGCCAACGGCAGATGGAACAGGCCATTCTTTAGATAGAACATGGAACGGGTATAGCACTTTTGGCCTTTTTTTTTTAAATAGCCATTAAAGTCCCCCAAATGAGTCATTTGGAAGTGATGTATGCCAAATATGTGACTGCTATTCTGTAGACACATGTTCAAGGTACCCTTATACCGAATTTTAGATCATTTGGTTGTAAAACCAGGGCTCATGATCCAAAAATCCATTTTTTTGGCGAAAAAATGCCCCCAAAAAAACCTTCATAAAAAATTTTTTCAGAGGCATGTATCAAAAAAAATGAAAAAAAAAAAACACCTGGGGGTATTGGCTCACTCTACCTCCATGCCAAATTTCAAGTCATTTGGCTGAATGATGGCGGAGTTGAATCTCTTTGACTGTTTGGCAGGAGAAGGAGAAGAAGAAGAAGAAACATCAGAGAACACAATATATTTCATCCATACCATGGTATGGACTGAAATTTAAATATATAAATCTAAAGTGGAAAGGACCTCTACCTATTGCATCTTTCTCAGTCAGGATTGCAAGACTATGAATGATATCTCACAAGTTGATCACAAGATTTTCTGTATCTGTATAGCGGCGTAGCACACCAGCTTCGCAGGCTAGGCACGCGGCGCGGCGGCAGCTGGCTACATTACACTGAACGACTTGTTACACCTAACCATTG